AGCATTTATTTGGGGCTGGCTTACAGTTTCATAGGTTTAGTCCATTATCAGCATGGTGGGAAACATGGCAGCACACAGGCAGACATGGTGCTGGAGGAGGTGAGAGCTCTGCATCAGCATCCACAGGCAACAGGAAGAAGAATGAGACACTGGGCCTTGCTTGGGCTTCTGAAGCTGCAAAACCCATGCCCAGTGACACACTTCCTTCAACAAGGTCACACCTCCTACTCCTTCTCAAATATTGCCATTCTCTGTTGACTAAGTATTCAAATATATGAGCCTCTGGGGTCCATTCTTATTGATCAAGATGATGATAATAATAATTAATAATAATAAATCATTATGGTTGATTTTTAAACTCCTTTCTTAGTAACTAACAAAATAGAAAATTAATAGGAATATGAAAGATTTGAACAAAATCATCCACCAAGTCAACCCAATAAACATATAAAGTACACTCAATAGTAACAGAATAAACATTCTTCCCAACTTTACATGAAAAGTCATCAATGAAAATAAAATAAAGATGACTACATATTAAAAGACAAAATTATAATTTGTGTATGATGGTGAACTCCTGTAATCCCAGAACGTAGGAAGTTGAGTTCAATGTCAGCATGAGAGACATACATGACAACATTCTATCTCTAATGAAACAATTTTACATGGTATGAATGTTCTATGACTTAATTAAGACAAAATAAAAATAAAAATGCACATCTGTTTGATGATATATAGTGTTCAGAAAATAAAAAATATATAAATTTCCTAGGGTATACCAAAGAATATGCCGCAAAGCAAAATTTGGAGGATATAAGGCAATGCTTCAAGAAAAAGACAGAACATTGAAGAGAGATAAATCTGCAGTCCGTATGGCTAAGGTTTTCTTTATTCAGATAACACCAGGCAAGCGCAAACCAAAGCGGGCCAGGGGCAGCAAGGCAGCCAGACCAGAGAGAAGGGAGAAGAGGGTCTCCATATGTGCGCCGTCCCTTAAGAACCATTCCTGCATCACCTTAGACTTCCCTTCACCACGCCCTCACGGGCGTTTCCCAGCACACCTGTCCAGGCTACTAGGAGGCGGGGCTACAGTGTCTCCCTACAGAACATTAAATGGCTGTATTCAAAGTAACAAAACCTAAAATTTAGCCCAAGAGCCTTAAGGGCTACCTAAGAAGTGTTAGATCACACTGTCTGAGTAAGGAAAGTAGTTGTCAAATGGAGGAGAATTTAATCAAACCGTCAATTTTAAAAGATGTGAAAGAATAGCCTCTTAGACTTAAATTATTAATAGGTACATAGATAAGTCTGCATTTATGGGGTGGGGTGCCAGTCCTTTGATAAGAAGGACAGCATGAAGCCAGCCCCAAACAGTGAGGGCTCATTTAGGTTTAGGTTGTTAGTTGGAGGCAGAGCATGAGATCTCAGGTGTCTAGGAACACAAAGTCACCACAGAACATAAAACATTAGATCACAGACTGCAGAAGATTGACAAAGGAGGAGAACTTTCTAGTTTTAAAGAGACAAGGGTACGATGTTTTCTGTCTCTTTTTCAGTGGTCATAAAGTATGCTTCTGTTTTTAAGGTCAAACCAATAGAAAGGAGCTTAATGAAGAAGCTGACATTAGGAAAGATCATTCTAAATAGAATTTAAAGTCATTAAGCTATTTCTTCTTGAGAAAGCCCACATTAGGTTATATACCCCCACAACAATGCCTGGATTGTCCTCTGTATGAACTGATTTAACTCTTTTACCAAACAATGCCTATACAACACCACCCCTAACAGTTGCTTTTTATGTGCTATGCAGCCACCTAGCTTAAAGGGAATATTGGCAGAGGCATCAATGGATTCTTTCAGTGGAATTTTAACTTTTTATTGTTAATGTCCTCTTCTTTTGACCTCAGTGACATACTTTCCTTGAAGGCCAACAAATAACAAAACCTTAAAACCATTTTTTTATTTTCACATGATTTATAAAATTGGTTATCTTCATATTAAAAAATATTTACTATGCTAATACATGATAGAAAGGTGAAACTAAAGCCATAATTGAGAAGTCGTGAAGAAGAATGAGATAATAGGGCCTAAACTTCCCTGGGTATAGAAAAGCAATTAATGGTTTTTGGGGGACATAAAGGCATTTTCCTATCCTGTAGCCTTTAGTAAGGTGTGCATTATACTGTGGATAATCTTTATTGATGATTCTATAAGAATCTGTGATTAAATTCAGTGGGACACATACATTTAAAATGTATGAAAGAAAGAAAGAAAGAAAGAAAGAAAGAAAGAAAGAAAGAAAGAAAGAAAGAAAGAAAGGCAGGCCATGACATTAGAAGACTAAGAAGGGAAGAAGGAGGTATATGCAAGAGTAGGGGACAAGAAAGGAAAATGCATATGATCAAATACAATATATACATATATAAAAATGTCAAAATCAAATGAAACTCACTATTATGTATAACTAAGATACACTAATGAAAATTTAAAAAATAGCAAAAAAACCCACCCCCAAAGCGCATTTATACAAAAAGAAATCTAACTATATTTGCTTTTCCTTCTGTCTGATTCTAATTAATATCTTTTATAAGCTTGTAGAAGTATCCAATATTTCCAACCTGTTTTCTGCATGAGGAACCTTTTCTGACTTTGTTAGAATGCACATGATTATTTAACTATTTTGATCTTACATCATTCAATTACAATTCTTAAACTCATACATTTCTCTGTGTCTATTGACCTATAGTACAGTGTGTTCAGCTTCTTCACTTAGATTAGTAATCAGATAAGAAGCTACTAATAAATCAATATTCAGTAATTTAAATAACTATTTAAATATGCTAGTGACAGGTGCAAACTTATAATATTATTTACTCAGGAATGGCTGACATTTTCTTTCCATACCATCAACTAAAGATAAACAAATCACATAGCTTAAGATTAAATTCAACATGGCATTTCAGTTAGTTTGGATTACCTTTCATTATTTAAAAAGTCTAAAAACTCTGAGATGTTCTCTGTTCTAAACCTTAAAGGTCACAATTTTCTGAATATAAAAGTACATTTACAAATTATTTTATCACAGAATGTTCCACAGTATCCAAATTTGATGCTCTCTGACTTCTGGCTATGGGCAGTTTCAGCTCTGCAAAGACAAATGGCTATACACATGCATAGAGATGGAGTACACAGATACAGATATAGAACACAGGCAGGATCAGTACTGCATCCCTGGAAAAAATGTGCCAAGTATATTATTTGACAAAAGCCCTGAGATGTTACCTTCATAAATTTAGATTAGACTGTGTGTGTGTGTGTGTGTGTGTGTCTGTCTGTCTGTCTGTTTGTCTGTCTGTCTAAGTTAGGTTGGAGAATTCAAAGATCCACAAAAACAATCAGTTAGTTCTTTGTGGGACCTATGCCAGAATCAAGACAATAAAATGAACTCAAGAGAAAGTGACAGATGGGAAACAATGGCTCAGGGACAATGTCATGAAAGAGAAAGAAAATGTGTCACAATTGGAAACCCATCTGCCTTTCCTGGTGTGTGAAGTATCCAGGATGCATGAATTCCAATTCAATGATTCAGTAATCATGACAAGGAAGATTGGAAGGATAAATTCAACCGTGAGATCATCTTCTCTATGGGTCCTGATCACATGTCAATGGTACTTCGTATTTATAAGCAAATGATAAACATGACATTGCATTTATAATTACTTGACACTTAGAACTTCCACAAATAAATAACTAAACAAATACCTCTTGTTATTTGATGGCAAGAATTCTTATAAATTGGAAAATCAATTCCATGGAGAGGTTTTTATACTGAAAGAAAATATCTTTGAAGAATTGGCCTACTATTAATATTTAAAGCACAGTTTGTTGTATTAATTTACAAGAATTTCCATTGTTTATTCAGTATGTAGAATGTATTTGGTCTCATCCTAGTCCACAACTGGCCAAGTACAAGGTCAGGAGTGAAGTTAATTGTACTATATTCTTACTTCTCCTTCTTCTATATCATCATCTCTCTTTTGTTTTTGCAAATGTGTAGGGTAAGAATTCACACTCTGATTATTCACCTGGACATAGGACTTCTTTATTGAATGAGACAATCCCTACTGGCTTAGAACAAAAGGAACATGTGTATTGGTTTTCTTGTTGCTATGACAAAATACCTTCTAAAAGCACCTTAAGGAATGGAGAGCTTATTTTGACTCATAGTTTAAGGGTGAATGACAGTGAAGGGATAGGAGTGAACTCTGTCCCAGCTATGGTAGCAGGAGTATACAGAACCTGGTCACATGGCATCCATAGTTAGGAATCAGAGAGATGAATGCAGAGATGAATGCCGATACTCCATTCTCCTCTCTCTCTCTCTTTCTCTCTCTCTCTCTCTGTCTCTCTCTCTCTCTCTCTCTCTCTCTCTCTCTCTCTCTGTCTTCCTTCCTTCCTCTTTCTCTCCCCCTTCCTCCCCCCTCTCTCTTTAGTCTAGAGCTCCTAGACCATGACATGCTACTGCCCACATTCTTGGTAGACCCTCCTATATCAGTCAACTGTCTCTAAAACATCCTCCTAGGTGATTTTCAAAGCCTGTCCTATTGACAAGATTAACTGTCACAGATGGTAAAATTAAAGACAAAGTATTTAGTTCTTACAAGATGCCGTACATCATACTTCATGAATCATTACTCAGATTGATGGTGAAGAAAGCCCATCCTTGTTTGTGTGGTAAGTTTAATTCATAGTGTGAATTTTGAAGTAATGATTTGAAGGGAATTATTTATTATTTTTCAATAAGTTTTGATCAACTGATATGTTCTCTATCCTACATGAGGCCATTCAAAAGACCCTACAACATATGGATATTAAGTAAATATTTCACTGTCATTCTTTTGACTCATTTTGAGGGGAGAATGAGTGCTTTTTAGGAGGGAAAGAAGTTAGTTGTATGAAAGTCTTGAAATTAACCACATTATACCTTGTTGCTCTCCCAGGGTCCCATGATTCCTTCAGCTTCTACATTGATGAAGCCTCTCCTGTAGGCCCTGAGCAGCCAGAAACTGTCCAAAACTTTGTGTCTGTGTTTGGAACTGTAGCCAAGAAGCTGATGAGGAAATGGTTAGCCACTCAAACAATGAGTTTCACTGGTCAGCTAGGAGCTGGAATCCGCTACTTTGACCTGCGAATTTCCACAAAGCCCAGAGACCCAGACAATGAACTGTACTTTGCTCATGGCTTATTCAGTGCCAAAGTCAATGAGGGTCTTGAAGAGATCAATGCATTTCTTACAGACCACCACAAAGAGGTAGTGTTCTTGGACTTCAACCATTTTTATGGCATGCAGAAATATCATCATGAAAAACTGGTCCAAATGCTGAAAGACATCTATGGAAACAAAATGTGCCCAGCCATTTTTGCCCAGGAAGTGAGTCTAAAGTACCTATGGGAGAAGGACTATCAAGTATTGGTCTTCTACCACAGCCCAGTGGCATTAGAAGTGCCCTTTCTCTGGCCTGGGCAGATGATGCCAGCACCCTGGGCAAACACGACAGACCCTGAGAAATTGATCCAGTTTCTTCAGGCATCCATCACTGAGAGAAGAAAGAAGGGCTCGTTTTTTATATCTCAGGTGGTGCTGACACCCAAAGCAAGCACTGTGGTCAAGGGTGTGGCAAGCGGCCTCAGAGAAACAATCACAGAAAGGTAAGTGCCCTTCAGAAAGCAAGGAGAATTGCCTAGTAGCCTAAACTCAACTCATGTAACACAGAAGGAATAAAGCTAAAATTCTTACCAATGCAGTACCACAACTGAGTGACTTAAGATAATAGGATTCCCAACGTTCTGAAGATGATTGACACTTGTCCCTTAGTTTATAGATACAGCACCAACTGAACCTTCATTACATGGTCTTTCCCTAGTGTGTCTCTTTTCTTATATGGATAAAATGATACTGGATTAGGGTCTGCCTTGATTAATTTTACGTTGATTGGTTTTGCAAGTACACTTTTCCCAAATAAGATCATATTCCTAGAACCTTAATACATTTTCTGTGGAACATATTTATGTATAACCATGTATATGCTGAGTCCAGTGGCAAGTCTAGTCCTCTGTGTTTTGCTATAATGGTATTGCTTTGCTATGCACAGTCTTTTTATATACTAAATGCCATTTGATATATAACAAACATGAGTAGATATTGTCTTACAGATTAAAAAAATAGGCCTAGAAAAATATAATACTTCCCCTAAGCTTCTTCATCAGTGAACAATGAAACAGATACTCAGACACCATTCTTAAGCCACATCTTGTACCCTATGCATTACACATTCTACCTTTTTAGGAAGGATTGCTCTCTGATGAGAAAACATGCCATTGGTCAAGACTGGCTAAGAGTATAGAGCCATGATCACTTGTGAGGTATAATTTGAGGCATCACCAAAGATCTCTGTAACTTCTTCCAGTAAGGATAACAGCATCCAGAACCATGCATATTATTTATTTCTGTTAAAATAGTAAATAATATTAACATAAGAAAAGAATACCTACATCCTTTTCATACAATGTATTTTAATATTCTAATAGATAGTTTGAATTGTGCTAATGAGATGGGATGGATGACTTGGTTAGAGTCAAAATCTGTGTGGAAAGATAAGAAAATGAGGGGAAAAACTTTTAAAGTAAAAATAGTGTAGGTGACCCTGTAGAATATCATTCTGTGTGGACAGTAATAGTGGGAAACTTTAGAAGACAAGAATATAGTTAAGGCAGATATTGTAGCTAAGCTGAAGAGAACTCTATCCCATGAGTGGTAGAGAGCTGGCTGTTGATGCCTGACAGTTAAGTGATCAGAAGTGCCTTTTAGATAATTGATACAGACTGCAGGATAGAATGAAGCTAAGTGGGTAAGTGATAGAATTTAGCTAAGTGAGGAAGTAAGGAAAAATTGGAAGAGATGATATACAACAAAGGAAAAGATCATAGAGTGACTGGTTAGCTCTGTGCTAAGAATGAGAAGAAATGATGGTGGTTTTGATTGACAAGTAGAATGGAAGGCCATTCACCAACGCAGAAGCTAAACACAATGATGGGTAGGAGGAGACTATGTAGCTAAGAGTTGTGCAAACTTTAAAGATCATTTAAAACATGCAAATGATGTAGCCAGTTGAACATTAAAATTACAAGCCAACTCATTTGGAGCTATTGGCACTTAGGGATAGGAAGAGCCACAGATCACCAGAGTAGAAGTAGTCTTCCTTACAGAATCATAACTTTCTTCTGTTGTTCACATCCTAGCTGGGATCTCCGTGTGCTTTGAGATTTAAATGCAATTTTAAAGCATCTGTTTTATACCTACAGTAATGCAAGCCCTTCCCTGCTGTTTCCTGAAATATCTACCTTTCTTCTCATGAGACTTGAGCCCTTAATACTTTTTCAGTGTTTGATATGTCACTGATCCCATATGACCTACTCATGCATTCCATTGCTCCAGGCTCAGTTTCTTCAGTGATTTTTAGATATTACTGAAGATCTATGGATAGAAGAGAAATTGTATAATCACTGTAATCCACATAATTGAAAAAGGAACTTGAGCATTTTGTCTGTAATTTTAAGTCTTTCCCTGGGGTATCTGTCTCCTGAAGACATGTACATGACTTTGTATCTCAGCTAAATACCCTCTGGTGGGAACTGTTCTTCCTCCTGTCCCTCTTGTTCAAACCATTTTCCTTCCCTTACATTCTAACTGCCTCTGAAAGTCTATATTCTTCTCCAGATGATTCAGGCTAAACTTACTGAGTTCCATCCAACTAGTCACCAAATCAGGAAAGAGCTTTTAATCTAATAGCACTACATTCCACCAACACTAATTGATCTGATAAATGACTACTTGCCCTCTCATCAAATTAGCAAGCAAGGGTCTATGTACATATATGAATGTGCTGTTTTAGTAATTTTATTCCATAAAGTTTTCATGTTTTGAAGAAACCCCAGGGTTTCAAACCCCACTGGAAACAGGATGAATTGATCCCATTTATTGTCATTCTACCTCCATCTTGGAAGGAAGAAGCTGTATTTTAGCTTTTATATTTTAGGCATGGCACAAATATTCCTACAATCTCCTCAAGTTTGCAAAAGCATATCCATTTAAATATATAATTTTCTATTTAGGAAAACATTTACCTATACTACAAGACTGGTCTGCCTCTTGGCCAAGAGTCATTCCATGGTTTTCCATGTTGAAAAACCCACGAAGAGCACACTCACAGAATGAATGGCTTTCATTTACCTTTTCATAGCATTTGGTGTACTTTGGACGCATCTAAGTCACACTTAAGCTGCTTTCTGGCTATTTATGTTCTAATATGCTACTATAAAGGAGGGCTTGTAGAGGTTAAAAACAAGTCAAATATTAGAAAAGTACTGAAAATTGCAATTTTATAATGTAAAATTGTATTTTATATTGTGACAAGAGCCACAATGTACATTACCATATAAAAGATACTTGCAAATATTTTATTGAAGAACCATATTTAACTAATAGTATTTTCCACACACTTTTAAAAAGATAATTCTTACTAAAAGCCTGTGAAATTAATTGTGAAGAACAGTCTTTAGCCATCTGTTCTAACTCAGTATCTCTCACTTGCTTGAAGCTTATACATCTGCAACAGTAGAGCTATACCACCAGAAAGACAAAGATAAGTATGGGGTAAGGCAGGAAGAGAGATAAGAAGACCCTAGAGGTATGACTCTTTCTGATGTCTTTACTCAGACTTGAGTGTCATTTACTCAGGCCTTTCCCCACCTCCAACACCATTACTTAAATCAAAATTATAGTCTTAGTGAATTCTAACTTTGTTTCAGAGGAAGAAAGAAAAGACAAAAAAGGATTTAGAAAAGAGGATCCTATAGGTAGAATCAATTTTTTCCCTTTAAGATCACATGTATGACTTGCTAGTGGTTTAAAATCTATCTGCCCTGTTACCTGGCCCCCATATTAATGTTATGAGCATTCTCCAGAAGCGCTTCCTCTTACACATGCTAGAATCACACATTTGCACTGCTATATTGAACGTAGTGTTTAATGTAAAACCGGGGTTTTTGTTTGTTACCTTCTGAGTGGGAGAGGAACATTCTAGCTTTCTGGACAGAGACTGAGAGGAAAAAGTCACTTTCTGGCCTTGACTACTGGACAGTGAAGGCATTTTCCTCCCACTAAATGAGGTAGTGAAGGAACATTTTGTTGCCTTTCTTTAGATCAAACAAAGAAGCACAAAAATAGACTGATTTTTTTCAACTATTCTACTGTGCCAAGACTATTCATCCAAAAAGTTGCACGTTGGAACCAAACAATGTAATGAACTTTTCTGTGACCAAAGAAAAAGCTACCACACAATCATCAGACATGGGACTTAAACATCCATACCTGAAAACTGGGAGTTTGAACTGAATCCTGCATCTGGCTAGCTTTTCTCTCTACAGCAGTCCTTTCTAACATTTTGGTTAACGAAATCCCAAGCACCTGGGCAGAGAAGCCAGTGGTTGAAACTGTGGGTGGCTTTCAGGGAAACTAAACCCAGCTTGGGTCAAAAGACAGCAGTTTCCAGTCTGGCCATCAATTCTAAAAACTACAGATGTGTTTTCTGTACTTCAGCAATGCCAAAAGACACAGATTTTTATTTTATTTCTTAAAGACCTATTTTTAATTTATTTTCCAAACACCAGCTTTTACACCTCACCCCCACGGAATTCACACATTCTTAAAAAGAAGGTGTGCATCTTGAGTCAATTCCTTTCCTAATTTGTGGAAGTTTATTAAACTACTGATTTCTTAAAAGCAAATATCACTTGTCAGATTTTAGGAGACAATGTATCTCTTTAAGTAAATTAATATTGTCCAACACACTGCATGAATATAATAATCATCCCTTGCTATTGTCAGTTGCCTTAAGATGATCTCTATTGGGTGATATACTAAACTGTTTTATATGTATTATATGATTTGACATTCATGAAATCTCTCAGATATAAGCACTATTGCTATCCCATCTTAAAAATGCTAGAACTAAGTATTAGAAGTGTTAGACAACTTACCCTCATAGCACCGCTAAGCAAGTGTAAATGCAAGACTCAAGCCCAAGCTACTGTGTCTATTAATTCCTGTTTGTGATCCAGAGTCTGCTCGGGACACTGTATGTCACTGCATTATCTCCCTGCTCTGTGATGCTCTAAAATTTGACTGCAGTTTTGTTTAGATTTCATTAAATAGTAATATCCAAACCAAATTAGGCAGTAGTGGATGAGGTTCAATTTAGTCTTTATGCATTGAGGGCTCTGAAGAACGAAGTGTGTTAACTATTGTAAGATGTATTAGAATTAGTAAGATACCATTGTTACCATCACAAATCAAGTAAGTTTGAAATAGAAGAATATGCATGATCTAAGTACAAATTGCATAATCATAGGAGAATTAGAGATCAAAACCTATAGATTTATAGGAATGATGCCTGGTGCCTGGAAATGCTTTGATTGGCTTTAAAGACAGGATACCATTGTGACAGGAAGAGATGTTTAGGGTGTGGCTACCCAGGCTGAGGGAATAGAAGGCACAAGCATAGACATAGACCATGGTGGGGACAAAAATAGAGTTGATCACCACAGAGTGATTTCAATGGAACATGAAACATAAAGGAATGGGTTACCTA